GACTCAACACACTTTGTTGTACTCACCACAACTTATCAGTACACATTGTTTATCTGATCCTTCGTCTTTAGTGGCGGGCTTTATTGTACTTGGGACAAGGTGTGCATCGGTTAGACGGACAACGACCTCAGACTGGGTCGTAAGTGAACGTGCAGAGGCAGAAGGGCAACAATGCACATATCAGGTTTGCCAATCCTTTTCCGCTTTGCTCTTGCTGCGTTGCAGCGAAAATCATTCAGCCTTGTGTCCTTATTGCGCTAGTTTCTTCACTTCGTAAGACCTTCCTGTTTCCGATTGCCCCGTAGTTCTGGCATGGCCTGTTGTCTAATTCCTAGCCAGGTGTGCGTCACTCTCTCGAGGGACGCCTGGCTGGTGTGCTCGTGTGAGCATGCTACAGGCGGTGGACTTTCGGTTGCAGTCACTCGCTGTCCGACCTGGCTGCCAGCAGGCAGGCGACCTTTCCTGCTGTCCGGCCCGCTGTCCGTGAGCTAGGCTCCTGGACTAGTAAAGTCCAGTGTGCCGTTCGAAACGGGTGGTTGCGACTTCACACGTGAACTCCGTTGTTTATGTTTCCCGCTCATTGGCCAGTCTAGCCTACGTGGACGGCGTGACCGTGGCAGTGACCGACAACCGTTCCAGCTGTGACAGAGGCCGACTCGGTGCGGAGCCCGGCGTCTCTGCGTCACGACGCAGCCAAGCATGGCCGGCCCCGTCAATCTTGTCATCTGCGGCAGTTTTGCTCTGACCAAAGTTTGCGGACATGCCATATGACTTTAAAAAACAGCAGTATAAACGAGTCTCTCAAGCTATAGGGAATTAATTGTGTTCCAATCTAATGAATGACGCGGCTTTTCAATAATCTACGTCTTAAGTGGTATTGTTGCATCGTAGGCACATAAAGAAATAGTACTTCCAATTTGGCGCCTGATTACGCTTTGGTTCGTTGGGGATTTTTGGGAAGAAGATTAAAGAAACGAACGGGGGCCAGCAGCATGTCAGTGGGACTAACCGCATTGGTAACTACATTCTTGGAAACTACTGCAACTAGAATCAACAGCAGTTCAATTAGTGGATACGAGATCAATACATCGTATCTAGTAGTAGAATCTGACTGGCACATGAACTTTTTCAGCACTTTCGTGGTTGCATGCCAACATAGAGACACCCAAGTGGCCCCACACCCTTGGGGCCTGAATACACGATTGGCCACACACTAGCTTTACTGATGGTTTGTTTTATAGAGGTGGGCAGATCAATTGGCTGTGGGGGGGGAATGGGGAAGGCTTTTTATTTCTTCGTGCTAGGGGAATCCTTGCCTTACAACAGACCTCACAATTCTCCCCCCATCAACCTGGCTTAGGCCGTGCTTCCCGCTGTCTGATGCTCCCCCAGCCCCGCGACTGCTTCCCTTGCCGTTCCCGCCACTTAGCGCTTTCCTCTCACACTTGTGGGTTACCCATCGATGCCGATAGGAAATCCAGCAGATGGTGCAAAGAACACCTTTCTTAGCAATTTTTAAAGGCATCCTCAGCTCGTTCTACAATCTGTGTACATAGAGAAAGTCTTAGATCTTTGAGTTCAGCTCATGAAGAATGGGGACAAAAACAAAAGTGTTGCGTTTATAATTTTGTTATATAACTCAACACTTTTGTTTATACACACATTATAATACACATTGTTATTCTTTTTTAGTGGTTTATTGTACTACATGGTGTTGTTAAGAAATGACTCAGACTGTCGTAAGTACTGAGAAGAGCAAATGCATTAGGTTTGCCATTTTTCTTTTCTTGCTTTGAGCCAAAAGTCATTCAGCCTTTGTCTTATGTTGTATTTTTACTTTAACCTTCCTGTTTCCATTGCCCTTTCTATTGTTCTAATTCTAGCAGGTTTGCTCACTCTTCTCGAGGGAGGCTGTTTTGTAGCATGTAAAGGGTATTGTGGTCACTGGCTTCCACTGCGCAGAGGCACTTTCCTGCTGTTTTAGTAGCTTGATAAAGTCAGTGTGCTGAAACGTGTTGGACTCACTGAATCCGTTGTTTATGTTTCCCTTGCCAGTTACCATTAATTATGGAATAGAAACTTAGTTACAAGCCCACTGTGTTTCTTACACAAAGCATTCAATCTTTCATTTGGAGTTTTGCTCTGAAATATTTGTAATGCATATGACTTTAAAAACAGCAGTAATAAAATCGAGTCTCTCAGTATAGGGATTAATTGTGTTCCAATCTAATGAATGATGTTTTAATATTTGTTTAAGTGGTATTGTTTGCATGTGGCACATAAAGAAAATATTCATTTGCGCCTGATTAGCTTTGTCTCTTGGGATTTTGAAAATTAAGAACAACGGGGGCCAGCAGCTTGTTAGTGACTAACGCATTGTAACTACATTGGAAATATGTAAATAAATCAAAGCAGTTCATTAGTGGATACGGAATAAATACATATCAATATTAGAATCTGACATGCACATGACTTTTCACACGTTTGTGTGCATGCCAACATAGAGACACACAAAGTGCCCCACCCTTGGCCTGGATAACATGGCCACACACTAGCTTACCATGGCTTTGTTAATAGAGGTGGGAGATTTGCTGTGGGGGGAATGGGGGAGGGCTTTTTTTTTTTTCTAGGGGAATCCTTAGCTTACAAAGACTCACAATCTCCCCCTCACTGGCTAGGCGTGCTCCTGTCTGTGCTCCCCCCCCCCCCCNNCCCGCGCTGCATCCCTTCGCCTTCGCCACTAGCGCTTCCTTCACACTGTGGGTACCATGATGCCGATAGGAAAAATCAGCAGATGGTGAAACACTTTCTTAGGGCATTTTAGGCATCCTCAGTTTCTAACATCAGTTGCCTGACATCTCCAATTAATCACACATGCTATCTGTGTTTTATAAATGAATGTAAATGTATTTATCATCTAGATGTGCTTGCATATTTTTTTTGTACGCATATATGTCCAGGTTGAAATCCATTACAGCCGCTGCCTGTGCTCATGACCAACAGAAGGAGCCAGAGAAGCTCACAGTAAGCTTATTAATGTCTCCTGGTCGCTCTCCAGTATGGGCTTGCTAGTTGCCATAGCAACCAGGCCCTAGATATTGTTCACTAGGAGAGGCGTGTAGATGTAGTATAAATATAAACACCCTGTAACCATAGCCAGTGCTTTTTATGTAAAGCAGCCCACCTCGCCCATCATTATTAGCCTACAGTATACGTTATTGTGCGTTATAAAAAAGAATATATCAGGATTCTGGCTTTTCTGTATCATACAGGTCATTTATTTTGCATTTATATGGTATCACTTGCTGCTGACTCTAGTTATATTTCTCCATCTCTGGATTTCAGGTAAAACACCAATGCATCTGAATGTGAGGCTCAACACTTACAATCCAAATTCCA